GGACCGGGGCACGAACCCGCGTCCCCTGCATCGGCAGGCGGACTCTCAACCACTGCGCCACCAGGGAAGCCCCTCATTTCTTTTTTATGAATAGTAAATAGTTCTACATTCTTCATTACAACCATTTTCAAGTTTTTAGAGCAGCTTTTCTTCCTTCAAAATAAAAAGTTTTCCTAATTTTAACAGTAATATTTTCTTGTTGTAAAACATTAATAAAGAAAGTAAATGTTGTCCAAATCTTTCTAGCATACATGTACATGAGTATAAAAAATTTTAAGATAAAAACTGAATGCCATGTAAACTACTATCCAACATGCCGTTCACACTGGTCATATTATCAATGCTATTTACAATAATAAAAATCTCCATCATCATCTTTAGATATACTAATGTGTAGTATTATTTCATAGCTGAGTCGTAATTTATTTAATCGATCTCCTGCTGACATATTTTAGGTAAAACTTTCTGCAATGAACATCCTTGAACACAGGGCTGATTCCCCCCTGGTACTGACCAGGTTACCTTCAGACTGGTCGGGCTCTCTGTTCTGCTGGTTGTTAAATATTTACATTTATCCTGCTTCCTCGTACATTTATCTTTGGGTTCTTATAGCTTCATTTGGATAAATTCTCCAATTGGATCTACTGGGCCAAAGGCTATGCAAATTAAAAATTCTATTTTAATTTTTAATTTTGGATGGGTTGATTACCTTTTGTGCCTGACAAACAGCCAGTAGCAATCAAGCATTTCATTCTACCTATAAAGTTGTAGAATTTTTTGGTATTCATCATTTCAAAAGTGAAGTGCTTATAGAACAGACATGTCACCGTCTTCAAAAATTTGTTATACTGAAGTAACTGGGGGAAATGGATTGGAAGTGGATTATTAAAATAGTCATATGACCATGCTCTAATTTTGAAAATGTCATTTTTAACAGACTGAAATTTCCACAATGAGTATAAGTAGGATAATTAAAATAAAGCTATAAAATGTTATAGGAACACATTAAACCGTCTCCATATACTTTTCTAAAACATGCTCTGCCAGTGAAGTTGGGAAAAGAAATAAACCAAGAAGAGATAGTTTTAAGTTTACAACTTTTCTAATTTTGAGATTATTTTGTGAAAGGCCCAGAATTGGAAGTGAGCAAATTAAGGTACCTTTGAAAATGATCTTTTGTACAAATTAACCACTGCCTAGTAGTCAGCACGCACTATACTACCCGCCTTAATGGAAGGTAAATCATTTTCAAAGGGAACCATGAATAAGACTATTAACTCAACTTTACAGACTCAGAGAACCAGAGGGGCTCGTTCTATATGGAAAAGGACACCATTATAAAGCTAAACGAAGAAGTAGGATATCATATTAAACACAGACTACAGTATCAACCAGGAAGACAAAAGAAGCAAAGCCTTTTCTACAAGGAAAAAAAAACCCTATATGATCATTCACCAAAATGCCAACCAACGTGGTGTTTGGTGGTAGGGGTACTTTTTTGGGGGGTGGGGACTTTTGTTTTTTTTCCCTACAGTTTTCAATTTTTTGCATTGGACACATATTCCTATTTTAGAGTGAAAACGAATAACTTAAGGTTTTTATTAAGTCAATTTCCATTCTTCTACCTGCAGCCCTAATATCACGTAAAGGTCCAGGATCGGTCTCGCTCGTGCCATTTACCACATTCCTCCAACAGGCTAACAATAAGAACAGTCGCAATAAGGACACTTCCCCAATCCAGCTGCCCATCCTAAAACCCCACCGAGGAAATGCGTCACCACCAGAAGCCTGATTTCCTTTTGCTCTTTCAAGGAATACCAAGTTTCGTCCACTGAGATATTTTCAAAACCACATACAAACAGCAGTGTACGAAAATGTAAATGTCCTATGATATTCTTACGTGAAAAAAAAGAGCATGAACATATATACTTTGCTAAGAGAGACGTATCAAAAGCAATATTCAGCTTTCCGTTCAGCCCCGATTCTCCAAGATGTATTCCTGAACCTCTAAGTTTAAGATCACCAAGTCACAAGAAAAGCTAAAAACACATTACTTAATGCTCGTAAAAGCTTTTAATCCATCTAATGGGGAGGGAGAAACATGCAAGAAATGCAAAGAGGCAGGCTGCAGACCCCCAAGAAGCAGGCCATGCTATTTTACATATACTCATTTAAAACATATACTTAATATATATTCATATGCATTTTAAAACCTATTTTTTTTAACAATTGCTGTTGGCCATGCTGTCAGATACTGAAGGTGAGAATTGGCCATTCATGATCCCGTTCATCTGATTTGCTCAGGACCCTCAAACCCAAGTAAGTGTAAGTAAGTGATCTGACTCGTTTACATAGAGATGCTGAGTCAGATTTCTGTGACTCAGTATCTGCGGCAGAACTCATTTCAGTGAAACTGTCTTATCTACACTGTCATTTCAGCAAAAAATCAGCATTTCACTGATGGGTGAGAAACAGGGACCAGTAATTCTGGAAGACAGAAACTCCAATTTTGAATCAAGCCTGACTTGGGAACTTATATCTTTAAATACAGATTGCTTATTAGGAGAGCTCGATTCTTTGCTGGTACTAATCAATTAGAATAGTAGGGGTCCTTTAGATCTGAGGAACCCATGGGGAGAGCCACAGTATAAAGGATGACAAGAATATGAGTTATTTTTACTTGTGCCTTGAACCAGGCACAGTCTTCTCCTGGGAAGGCATACAAAATATGTAATAACATCCATGTGCTACAGAAAAAACTGTATAGTACCATTTTCTGAAAATATATATAATTTTTCAAAACAAAAAGGGCCAAATTTTTAAGTAAAAAGATAAAATAAATACTTCATACCACTGGAGACAAGGTCTGAAAGATGAAATAAACTCCTGGTATTTCCCAAGGAAAAAACAGCTACTACCCATTTGAAGCTGTTTCTCCTTAAATAACCCAGGAACTGCCAAAAGTCAACTAATTATGGAACACTGTTATTGGAACAGAACAGAGGATGCTTAAATTCTATCCTTGAAACATCAGGCTCTGAAAAAAAAAGAAACATCAGAACTATGAGAAAAACCTGCTGAGCTAGAAAGTTCTCCTTTAGAGTGATCAAATACAATTCTTTATTTTTCCATTGGATCATTTTTTGAAGTTAATTCCAGCCTCACGTCCAAATTTGGATTATGAATCTACACATTTAGTTCTGTGTCTCTAAATGCCAACATCAAATACACAGCGCTCTCCAGTCCCCATGTTGTAACTTTCTCCTATGGTGTCATAGACAGGAATTAACTCGACTTACTTGTTTCTTTCCAGATTTACAATCAGTTCTTTGCTTTCCAGTTGTATTCGAAAATTCAAGACTCCTGGATGATTCTGAAAGAGAAGTAAGAGAAGTCAGTTGAAGATCATTTCCCTTCGATGTGCCAGTATCTCAACATGCCCTGCAGGCATAGTCAATGGCGGGGAGAGAAAAAATACATTTTCTTCCCGGGACCATTCTGAGATCCTGAGTAGAGGAGATCAAAACAAGCAGGACGAGAGTCCGGAAAACGCATCGCCCTCCCAGATGGTACTGACACACCTGCATTCCTGGCCTCCGCGCTCCTCTCCTTGGGCCACATGTACCCTTGGGATCCTTCTTGACTCGACCTCCATCTCCCATAATCGACTCCTTCCTTGGTTTCCCTGTTTCTAGAGAAGGAGGCACTTTCATTTCCCCAACTGCTCATGTCAGAAATCTGAAGCCCTTCTCCCTCAGCAACTCCATCTGATCCATGAAGAGGCCCTATTGAGTCGCCCTCCAAAACACAGCTCCTGTTGTCCGGGTCTGACATCTCTCCACCTTGCTCTGGATCAAGCCACAATCATCTCTCATGTGGATGCTGCAAAACCCTTCTACCCCGGTCCCTCCACATCGACCTGTGCTTTCCTCCCATTCATCCCCCAATGGCAACGGGAGGATATTTTTTAAAAAGTCAACCTCATCCACCTACCCCTGGTCATGACAAGCCTGCACTGATGTTCCATTGCACTGATGATAATATGCCAACTCTTTTTAAAAGAATATTTATTGTAGTATAGCTGATGTACAATGTTACGTGAGTTACAGGTGTACAGTGCAGTGATTCACAATTTTTAAAGGTTATACTCCATCTGTAGTTATTATAAAATATTGGCTATATTCCCTATGTTGTACAATATATCCTCATAGCTTATTTTATACCTAATAGTTTGGACCTCTTAATCCCCTACCCCTATGCTGCCCCTCCCCACCTCCCTCTCCCCACTGGTAACCACTGGTTTGTTCTCTGTATCTGTGAGTCTGCTCTCTTTTTTGTTATATTCACTATTTTGTTGTATTTTTTAGATTCCGCAAATAAGTCATATCATACAGTATTTGTCTTTCTCTGACTTATTTCACTTGGCATTATGCCCTTCAGATCCATCCTTGTTGCTGCAAATAACAAAATTTTCATTCTTTTTTATGGCTGAGTAGTATTCCACTGTGTGTGTATACACACACACACACACACACACACACACCCCCATACGTACATATGTGCGTGTGTGTATATATGTATGTATATATATACAGATATATATATATATATACACACATATATACATATCTCACATCTTCTTTTGCCATTCATCTATTGATGGACACTTAGGTTGCTTCCATATCTTGGCTTTGTAAATGATGCTGCTATGCTATGCTATGAACACTGGGGTGCATCTCTCTTTTTGAATTCATGTTTTTGTTTTTTCCGGATATATAACAAGGAATGCGTTTTTTGAGAAAACGCCATACTGTTCTCCGCAGTGAATATGCCAACTCTTCAATGTGGGCTGTAGCTCCTGTGTGGCCTGACCTTCATGCCCCTCCACACCCACCTGCGTTGCTCTCCTCGCTCACCCAGCTCTAAGCCACACTGACCTCACCCGCTCCTCAAACACACCAAGCTCCTTCATAGCTCCGAGTCTTCGCACAGGCTGTCCCCTCTGCTTGGAATGCTTTCTCCCAACTCTGCTACTCGGTATCAGCTTAAATGTCAATGATGCAAAGAAGCCTTACCTCACTCCCCAGTCTAATGACATCCACCTCTCCCCAGCTAGTATTTCTCCCAGTCTCCTGCCCTTTTCCTCCTTGTAAGGAAGAACTCCCTTCCTGTTCATTAAAATTTAGTATGTTGACTTGTGGGTCCACTTGTTTATCATACCCACGAAGGTGCCAGACAAATAATAGAAGCTCAATTAATATTTGGTGGAGAGAATCAATCAATGAATAGGGCAAACAGCTCTACCGACCCCTTCCCCCTCTTGTTAGGCAGACGCCATCCTCCTCCTCTCCTCTGGGCCCCAGGAAACCCTAGTCTGTGTGTGCCCAGCTGTCAGTGGGGGGCAGGAACCTATATTCTTTGCTCTGCCCCAGAAATCCCAACAAGGTCCTTGCCCTGCCCTGGGAATGCAGCCATGTGGCAGTGTCCCTAAACCCACACGCCTACCCCAGCTTCTCTCCCACTTAACAGGGTGGTGGAACACGCCACACTCTCTCTTGCTGAGCCCAAGTCAATGGTTTGGAGTCCTTACCCCAGTCAAAATTGATGTGCCACATCCTAAAGTTATTCTACGAAGCTCTTTATTTGCTTCCCCTTTCCCTGGGCATCCTCAGTGATTCTGGGGGTGGACAGTCAATTCCAACTCCCCCCAACGCCGCCACCAGCTAGCATGTTCAAATGGAGGTTTCACATGTCCATGGGGCATTTCCCTCCAAAAGAACTTAAAATTTTTAACGTTTATTTTAAAAAAATGAATGCTGTGTTTTCATTCTGATGATGTGGAAAGAGAGTTCACCCAGCATGACCACGCCCACCCTGACCCAGCTCACCATGGCTGCTGTGCTCAGGTCGGGGCCGGGCAGGACAGCCTGACTATCTAGGCCGATGTGAGCAGGGCAGAGGAGGGTTTAATTCACAAATGACGCAGCCGAGCTAAGCAAGGGCCAAATGCCATCACAGCCCAGTGCGGAAATAAAGGTTCCTTAGCGGCTTATAAAGAGCACAGTGGAGGAGAGACAGGTCAGGACGAAACCGGCGGCACAAACTCCAGATCACCTGCGCCTCCCGGGCAGCCTTGCCCTGGCGCTGCAAGCGGCGTGTCAGTCTTGTTCAAACATCATCATCCGCCTTAAATCAGTGCTGCTGACTTCAGTGGATTGGTTTCGTTCGCCTTTGCTTTGTAAGATTGTTTGGTCTTATGCTTGAATACGAGATAGAAGAATACATATATACGTAGTTCTCTAACATTCCATATTTGAAAGACACTATTATAACTCCAGAGCTCAAGGGACTATTTTCACAGCACAGCATTTCAGCTCTACTATGAATTAACAAACCACACGCTACTATGTTTTAAGAGAAAATGGATTGCAAGTTCCAACAGCCAACCTTAAAATAATGAGTTAAGAGGAAACAAAATTGAAACAAAACCTGCAACATGAGTTGTTGGGTCACATGAGTTTTGGGGAAATGTCACAAGTTGCATTAACTAATGCCATATAACTGGGACAGAGTCACAGAGCGCGAAACACTACTCAGTTTATTTTTAGGTCAGCCATTGGAACGGCTCTCTGTAGTTTTAAAGACCTAAAACTTGCATCATCCAATAGCTGCCCAAGAACTAGACTATTTTTAATATTGGTGCCTTCAGGGGATGGAATTAAGTACAAACCCAAGCCGGATTTTTTTTTTAATGTCCTTTAAGAGAGCTCTTCTCAATTTTAATTGACGGGTGATATTATTATTATTATTTTTTTTTTTTCCGGTACGCGGGCCCCTCACTGTTGTGGCCTCTCCCGTTGCGGAGCACAGGCTCCGGACGCGCAGGCTCAGCGGCCATGGCTCACGGGCCCAGCCAACCGCTGCGCCGCCAGGGAAGCCCCCAGGGTCTGCAATTTGTACTCATTAATTATATCTTAGAAAAACAAGATTATTAATTATGCTTACAATAAAATATTAGAACAAAAATACATCTCAATGTTGTGTCAAGATGTGTCCAAAGAGCATATGTATGAATATGTCTGTTTATCTGTATGTGTTTTTTGTATATGTGTGAAAAGTTACTTTAATAACAAATTGTGTTAGCCTAAGATATGGACACACACATCACTATTTTCTTCTGTGTTTTTTCTTACACATCACTATTTTAAAGATAAATCCTGGCAATTATATTTGTGAATAAAAATAAAATATCTGCAGCACCCTTTTCCCCCCATGAACAGTTCAGCTATAGCTTGAACATGAACACTGGTACTAATCCTACATAAAGTCCCTACGGGAGCTGTTAGAACGTTCTAATGTTAACATATTCAAATGAATACGTTTTCCCCCAGGGTGGCAGAAAGAGCTTTACCTGTGTATTTTACTTGAGATCTGAATGGCATAGGAGAAATCAATGGAGAACAACAGAGAGCTATTTAACTCAAAACCACTCATTGCATTAGGTTTCTTAGTTTAAAAGCATGTATTCATTCCATTTCCTTTTGATTTTTAGACATTGGAGATGACGAACTAGTGTTGGTTAAATACAGCCTTGCTTTTTAAAAATGAGACATTGATTTTGCCCTAATGAAACCGTGTCCTTTACTGAGTGCTTAAAGAACAGCATTTGCTGAATAAGTCAGTTAAATGCTTATCAATAGGCTAGAAACGTTTTGACCATCATTGTAATTCTATTTTTCTAATTGGCAAAAGTGTACCCAAAAGAGTATATAAAATGTATTAAGTACAATTGAAAAAACAACAATAAAATAATCATCAGGGTACCTACCACCCAGCTGAAAAGTCAAAATATTACCAGAATCTTAGAAACCCCCCGTATTCATTTGCTAAGGCTGCCATGAGAAAATATCTCAGACTGGGTAGCTTAACTATCAGAAATTTATTTCCTCACAGTTCTGGAAGTTAGAAGTCCACGATCAGGGCAGGTTTAGTTTCTTCTGAGGCCTCACTCCTTGTAAGTTCCTCGTGGAAATGAGTTTGGGCAGGCTCCCCCAGATGGTTTGCCCAGGCAGGTCTGCAAAGTAAGGCTCTGGCCAGAGACCACTGTCCATCACTCGGACCCTCAGCTGCTCTGTGCTCTTTCTGAAGTTTCCCACAAGGTACCTGCCCAGCACATCCCACTTAACTGGAAATATAAACACATGTTTAAAAAGTGATCTTTTGATTAGCTACAGTTTTTTTTCTTCTCAGTATTATCCATTGGGATGCCTTTATTTATTACTTATTTATTTCTTGTTAATAACATTTTTAGCCACAATAACCTCTTAAGTGATAGCCTATAACAATGTAAATTATTTTCTCTGCTATCTGTTA